CTCTAAATGCTCCTGCTCCCCCCTCTCAAATGTACTCTATAATTTCAAGTGATGAGGAAACCCAACAGTGTCTTTCTGAAGCCTCATGAGTGGTCCTGTCTTTCTGCTCTTCCTGGGGACACAACTTTCTACTTCATTCATCACCCAAGAAAGAAATCAGATCAGTGAACTCAGATTGTTCCCAATAATACCTGGGTGAGCTATGGCATTGTCACAGGTGGTGGGGATATGAGATATCCTTATATCAGTAGTAGATCTAGGAGGAGCAACAGGGAAAATATATTTTTAAAATTTCATATTACACAGGCCAACAGGTGTCGTGGTGGTTAAGGTGTTGTACTTCCACATAGCCAACCACAGTTTGAGTGCATGTGACTTATAGCATATTTTTAAATAAATAAATAAATAAATAAATAAATAAATAAATAAATAAATAAATAAATTTGTTCTTCTTTTAAAAGTTAATAATACAAATCCTATCATGTTGCTCTCCTTGATTGTGGGGAGAGAGTCAGGATATACTTATATATGTAACTTCAATTTGCTTTCTGGGGTATTGGTTCTCAACTATACGTTCTCCCTCTATGAATGGAATTTTCTCTACTTTCACAGCTTTTTTTCTTCTTCATTGGTGGTAATATCTGTCTAAACTCACTCCAATGTTTGTCTTTTCAGTCAGTCTACAAATAATTTATTCTGTCCTTACCACATGAAGGGCACTAAACCAGGTTCTGAGATTAAAGGAGAGTATGACATTACATCTTTTCTTGAGAAATTTACAATTTAAACAGGTTATTTGAACCACAGTCAGATATGTGGGAGTTCAGCACGCCTTAACCATCATCCCACCTGGCAGCTCCCTAATATCTTAATATATGTGTATTAACCATTACATTTTTGTATTTGTCATTGCTTAAGTTAAGGACTTGTGCCTACCTAGGCACAAGGTAGGCACAAAAAATGCTCAATAAATGTTAGTTAAATGACAAACAGGAATGGTAGTCTGGTGTTGCAGAGTTCCTTTTTCTGTCCAACTCCCAGGCAGAAGTTTCTAGCTTAGGTTAAATTGCAATATGGTATTTTAAAAAAATAATTATTAGGGGCCAGCAGGAGGCATGGTGGTTAAGGGTGCTAGATTCACACATGGCCAGGGGAAAGAGAGAGACCAGTGGGCGACATGGTGGTTGAGGCACTGGACTCCCACAGAGCTATGGTTCAAGTCTGGGACCTGGTAACTTGAGAATTACACCATGTGTGTGTATGTGCATATGCCCAGAGTCCAAGGAGGGGAGTGGAGGAGAAGAGATTGCAGATTGCAGCATGGCCATCCTTCATGGGGGATGATTTTTCACTTACCCTCTCACTATCTCTCTCTCTTTCTCCAGTGAGCACATGTGCCCTAAGGCAAAAACTTAAACAAACAGGGAAAATAGACATGTAAATAAATTAAGACAATATCCTAAGGTAGCAGTTTTTTCCTGAGGTAGTATTTCAATCCTGTGGAAATGGATCCAGAAAGAGTTAACTCTTCCTGGGAGGCTACATAAGGCTTCACAAGCAAGCTTATTATTAATTGTACTGGGTCTTATAGTGGGAATTAAATTCTCCCAGTAGAGAAAGGGTAACAGACAGTAGAGAAAAAAATTGTGGGGATTAGTTATAAGGTGTCTTAAGGAAATTGCAAATAGCTATTAATATCTTACCAGTAATAAAAAGTGAAATATAACTTGGGTCAGGTAGATAGCAGCCAGATATTTTGGTTATTATATTGATGCTTTTTTTTTTTTCTGAAATCAGTGGAGTCAGTGTAGGGTTAATAGCAGGTGATGGGGACACCAGGTGGTGTGGTGGTTAAGATGGCTGGATCCCACATGGCTGACTTTGAGGTTTGAGTCTTGGATCTGGTAGCTTAAAAATCATGCTGGGAGTGTGTGTATGCATGGTCAAAGTCCTGAGAGGAGAATGGAGAAGAGATTGCAGCATAGTCATCTCACCTAGGAGATGATTTCTCTATTTCTTTTTTTTTATTTAATTTCTTTCTTTTTTTTTGTATATACATTCAATCACGTTGTTTAGCTTACAATGTGAGCATTTCAATATGTGGACATTTCTCCCCAGTCCCGTTGATCAAAATATCTTCAACCAATAACATCTCTCTATTTCTGTCTCCCTCTGTTGAGCACACATTACCTATAGCCCAAAACTAAAAACATAAATTTCAAAATTCTCTCTTAAAAAATAAAGTAGATTATGTCCTTGAACATGATCAGTCTGTGGAAAGAGAGTCTTCCTGATATCAACCCATAGATAGATACTGAGAATGGAGATAACAGAGTAGAAGTGGAATAGAAGGTTAGAAACTGAAGAGTTTATTAAAAAATTCACTGATCAATGCAAGTCTCAGGAGGACAATTTGTATTTATTTTTATGTAATTGCTTTAATAGCTTTATAAAATTTGTATTCTAATTCTAATTTTATAGATAAAGAATGTGAAACTTATGGAAATTATATTGCTTATCAAAGGCTTATAGTGAAATCTGTAGTCAAGGTCAGAGCTCACTGTCTGCAAGGCATTTATATTTCATTAATATTTTTCATAGTTTTGTTTTGTTTTGATTTGCTATAGGGACTTGCCAGAGACAGAAAAAGAGAGAGAAAGAGAAATAATCCCTCCACTGAAGGAAAGGCCATGCCACATCCTTCTCCTACATTCTCCTCTCAGGATTTTAGGCACACACAAACACATGGCCAATGTGATTTTTCAAAGCCACCAGGTCCAGGTCTCAAACTTCAGTCAGCCATGTTAGAGTTCAGCATCTTAACTACGACATCACCTGCTGGACTCAAACTCTTATATCTCTTAACATAGTTCTTCCCAATCCTTCCCACTTCTTTTCAGTTTCTTGTACCCAGCATTACAATCCCTTGCATCTAGTTCATTAGATTTATTGGTCTGTAATTGTTCTTTTATGTAATGTTTTTATTTGGTTTTAGAGTTGGGTAATAACAAAATGAATTAGGAACTACTCTGCCTCTATTTTCTGGACATAATCATGGAGAACTTCCTCTTAACGGTTTGGTAGAATTTATTGTACACTTTCAAAATTTATTTTGTTTATTATTATTTTTTAATTTGACAAGAGAGAGGTAGAGAGAGAGAAAGAAAGTGAGAAAACAAACTGTAGGTACAGGGCTTGAACTGTGATCAGTCATGTGAGAGTTCAGTGCCTTAGCCACCACAACACTGGCCAGCCTCAATGATTGTACTTTAATCATACTTCTCAGTGATGGTTTCATGTACCAAATCATCTCTACAACACATGAAATGATTTTTGAAAATCATTGTAAATCTATTTTATTGTTTCTAGTTTTAGTATGTTATTAATTTTTACTTGTAAGTTATCATGATTATATGAGGATATAAATATTTTTGAGTTATACATGTTGAAAATATTAATGTAATTGGGTGTTTTCACTGTTAATATTTATTTCTGTGGCCAGCAGGTTGCATAGTGGTTAAGGCACTGTACTCTCATATGACTGACCACAGTTAAGTCCTGGAACTGGCAGCTTGAAACTCACACCAGGTGCATGTATATGCATACCCAAAATCCCAAGAGGAGAATGAAGAAAAGGAGACTGTGACATGGCCATCTCCCCTGGAGGATTATTTCTTACTTTCCTTCTCACTAACTGTTTATCTCTCTCCAGTGAGTACATTTCTGGGGAGCTTGAGGATTTTAACTTTGCTTGAAAGCAACCAGAGTTAGATTCTTCATCACTCCTTCTCTCCGTTGTATTAGCTCTTCTGCTTCTTATCAATCTTTTCTGTCTACTTTAGTTTTCTCTGCAGACTAGGTTTTATTTTCTCCAATATTTACATAGTAGAAGATGATGAGAAATTCCATGCCCCTGATCTGGCTTATCCTTGAGAATCTTATAGACATGCCTGCCCCCTTGGATGCTTCAATTACAAAACTAAATGCTCAGAGAAGGGAGAAGTCTATGTCTCATCATATGGAGTATCTTCTGTTATGAAATCAGTCATGCCTTGAAGCAGAAAGACACCATGCCACAATTATGGTTCAGGAATGAAAGTATAGTTTTGCATAGAGTAAGAAAAGCCAACAGTGAAAGGGACACAAGTTCTGTAGATAACTCAAATTGAAACTGTGTTCTGCAATAAAAAAAAAAAATAGGGGCCAGCAGGTAACGTGGTGGTTAAGGCACTGAAATTCCATGTGGCTAACTGTGGTTTGAATCCTAGACCTGGTGACTTGAGAATCACGCTGGGTATGTGTCCTTGTGTGCTCAAAATCCCTAGAGGAGAAAAGAGGAGACAGGATTGCAGTGTGGCCATCTCATCTGGGGGATGATTTATCACTTTCTCTTTATATATCTTTCTCTGGTGAGCACACTCACCCTATAGCAATATCTAAGAAATAAAATAAATACAAAAATTCAGAATTTAGATCAAACAGAAATCAAGGTAGAGAAAATATACTTTATGAGGGAATAAGTTAGGTATCCTCTTTTTACATGATATATGACATGTATTTCTATATATCATATGTAATATATTACATACATTTAAAGAACAGATACTGGGGCTAACAGTTGGGATAATGGTGAAGGTGCTAAATTTCCAAAAGGCTGAGTCCCAGACTCAGCGGCTTAAAACTCATGCCAGGTGCATGCACATGTATGCCCAGAATCCTTAGAGGATAATGGAGGAGAAGGGATTATGGCATGGCCATCCCCAACCCTACCCCCCGACTGGGTAAGATTTCTCACTGTCTCTCTGTCTCTCTGTCTTTCCAGTAAGCACATGTGCCATATAGCAAAAATCACTCAAAAAAAATTCAAACAAACAAACAAAGCTACTGTGAAACCTATATTTTAGAAGTTTCTACATCAGTTAGATATTCTGTCTGTTTAGCCACTGTTTGTGGCTAACATTGAAATGCTCTCAATTTTATTTCAGCCATTTCCTCAGGACATGGAGCCAGGAAACCAAAGTACTATTTTAGAATTTATTCTCCTGGGGCTCTCAGAAGAGGAAGAGCTGAAGCCTCTCCTGTTTTGGGTATTCTTGTCCATGTACCTGGTCACATTCATTGGAAATCTTCTCATTATCTTGGCCATTATCACAGACTACCATCTACACACACCCATGTACTTCTTTCTCTCCAACCTGTCCTTTGCAGACATCTGTTTCACCTCCACTACCATCCCAAAGATGCTGGTGAACATCCAGACACAGAGCAAGGTCATCACCTATGAAGGTTGTCTCAGCCAGATGTATTTTTTCATGCTCTTTGGAGAATTAGACAACTTCCTCTTGACAACGATGGCCTACGATCGGTTCGTGGCCATCTGTCACCCCCTACACTACACAGTCATCATGAACCACAAGTTATGCACCATCCTGATTCTGGTATCCTGGTTATTGAGTGTTCTGGATGCTCTGTTACATAGCCTAATGATTTTGAGGCTGTCTTTTTGTATAAAATTGGAGATTCCTCACTTTTTCTGTGAACTTAATCAGGTGATCCAATTGGCTTGTTCCAATATCTTCCTCAACAACCTAGTGATCTATTTGGCAAGTGAACTTCTGGGTGTTATTTCACTCACTGGTATCCTGTTCTCTTACTCTAAGATTGTAATATCTATTTTGAGAATTTCATCAGCTGGCGGCAGGTATAAAGCATTCTCCACATGTGGGTCTCACCTGTCAGTTGTGTTGTTGTTTTATGGTACAGGACTTGGAGTGTATTTTAGTTCATCTTCCCAAAATTCCAGGGCAAGTGCGATAGCCTCAGTGATGTACACTGTGGTCACTCCCATGCTGAATCCTTTCATCTACAGTCTGAAGAACAAGGACATAAAACAGGCCCTGGTAAATGTCTTCAGAACAAAAACTGTATCTACATAACTGAGTCTCTTGTCTTGGAACTACAGACTTGGAAATTGATAACAGGGCTCAAAGCCTTGAGAGACCTGAATTTGATATTTTAATCACATTTTATATATTATATATAATATAATATGATATAATTATATATATGTGTGTGTTTTTATTTATGTATATGTGTGTGTATATATATATATATATATACATACATACATACATATATATATGTAAATTGGGGTTGTTGAAAAAGTCATAATGCATTTTTGGGGATGGGGAGATTTTTGCTACAGGGTACAAGTGCTTCCCATAGAGATAGAAAGAGACAATATGAGAAATTACCTCCTCGGAGGGGATGACCACACCACAGTCCCTACTTCTCCATTCTCCTTTATGGATTTTGGGCACACCCATGCACACACACCTGGCATGAGTTTCAAAACACCAGGTCTGGACTTGAACCATGGTTTGTTGTGTGCGAATCCAGCACCTTAACCACTATGACACCAGCTGGCTTTATGACGCATTTTTGCATAGAAAAACAGAAAAGTGTGTCATGACTTTTCCAATGACCCAATAGAATTTCACTTTTTATATATTATAAAGATCTCTTATACAATATTTTCTGTGAAAAAAAAAGTTTACCCCTATAACCGTGTTGGTAAATACAGGAACCGCTATTGTGTCTCCCTCTGGAAAATGATGAAGAAAATTCAAATCAGTGAGCATACCAAGTACACTTGCTCTTTCTGTGGGAAAACAAGATGAAGAGGCAGGCCATGGGGATCTGACACAGGTTCCTGCATGAGAACAATAGCTGGTGGTGCTTGGACCTACACCACCACATCGGCTGTGATGGTAAAGCCCATCATCAGAAACCTGAAGGAATTGAAAGACTAGTATGGGAGTGGCAGGTGGTGCAGTAGTTGAGGCACAGGACTTCCACGTGGTTGACTGCAGTTCAAGTCCTGGACCTGGCAGCTTGAAATATGCTCGGTGCGTGTATGTGCATGTCCAAACTCTTGAGAGGAGAATGGAGGAGAAGGGATTGCAGCACAGCCATCCCACTTGGGGAGTGATTTCTCAATTTCCCTCTTTCTGTCTCTCTGGAGAGTACACATGCTCAATAGCAAAAATCTCTCAAAAAAAAAAAAAAAAAAAGAAAAAAAAAAGGAAGGGGCGGGAC